TGGTACAAATAGTAGTAGCATTGTAAATCTCTACATATAGTGGTTTAATGGTTAGCCCTGACTACAAGTGGAAGCCTTGGTAACTGCGCTGTAGTAATTTACATTGTAACTATTTTAAAAATTATTAATAAAGATATGAGCAAGGCCTCACCTTAACACCAAAAAAAAAAAAAAAAAGGTTTACATAGAAAAACTGAAAATTTTGATATTAGTATATAGAAAACTTTTTTTTTACTAAGATAACCTTTTTAGTTAGGGGAGTGCCATTTATCATCTGATTTTTTAGGTAGGTGGGGGGTTATGAAAATATCAGGTCTTATATAGTATATGTAATACTGACCAATCAAATCTCCCTAATAGTGTTAGCAGATTTAAGGTTGATCAAATTATAGATTCTACTACCTCAACTTGCAAGTCTTTGAGTACTTATACGCAATGCAATACGGTATAGTGTATTTGCAGATCTAGGTTTATATAAAGATTAGATTATTAGCTCGTTTTAACACCTCAACTTGCAAGTCGACGATTAGAAGTCTTGTGTCAATTACACAAAATGGACAAAGATTTGGAATTCAAATGGTCAAAGTTAAATTAAGAGGTGATTTATGATACTATTATCATAATAAAAGTCGGGATTAAGTAATATGATTTTATAATAAAATGGTTCGAATATAAACTTAATTAGGTTGTGTTTCAAGAATAAGCATCTGGGATAATTCGAATCTCTTAAAAGCAAGTTATCAAAATTATTATACCGAAACTATTTAAACATATACATAAAATGTTTATAAGCAGCTCGAAAGATTCTAAACTTTATTTTTATTTGTAGTAACACAGCTGGTTATACTATTAGATATAATATCTGAATCTTTTGACAAAAGAAATATTCTTGGAATTAAGGTTTTTTTTTTTTTTTTTTCTATATTTATATTTGTCTTTTATATATATATTTGTCCGATTTGAATTTTCAAGAATTTTATTCTAACACCAAATTTTTTTTTAAGTGTATTAGTTTAGGTTTTAATTTATGCCAAATATTAAAAAAAAAAAAAAAGGAAATCTATCACTCAACGTCTGATTGTATCTCACGCCATTCTATAACTACCTGTGGGTTTGAATATATTACATCTTTGGCAGAGTTATAATTAGTCATTTGTCGAGATAAACGTTCATGCTTTGAACAATGTTTACTCTGCTTGTGGTTTGCCAAATATTTGAGGGTAGGAAAATATTTACCACATGCAGTGCAGCATAATCGTTGGTGAAGTTCTTGAGAAATTGATAGACAACAACAATCATATAGTAAGATTTTGAGTTTGTCATAATATTGTAGGGCGTATATTGAGTTAGTGTAATGCTGGTCTTTGCCTTTCATAATAGGTGGGAGGAATCTATTGTTTTGATCCAAGAGAAGGGCTACATTAGATGCTCTATATTTATTACAACACATAGAATTTTTATACTTCTTAATATCTAACAAATAACAACATATTTGTGCATGATCCTCAATCCATTCTTATGATATTACAGATCCTATTTTAGCAAATGGCTATTTGATTTGGTCCACATACTCTGTTGTAACTGGCTTACTATATATATCATCTCTCTTCCATATATCGCATAGACTTTTTCCTGCAAATTCGAAGTTTTTACGTGCCAAGTCTTTGTTTAATACTCTTCTCTAACTATCTAAATAAAACCTGAATTTATCAATAGGTAGTGTGATACTAGCAAGTTTTGCAGATAGAGAAGCCATGGAACGTTCGACGGGGTTGTATGCGCTCTGTCCTGGTATATGTGTACAGATAGTTAAGTAGTCAAGATCGAATTTACGAAAAAAATTACAGTACTGAATTATATTTTTCATATACTTGGAATTCTCGTCAGGTCTGCCATCAACCAGAAGAACCCAAATTGGTTTAACTTTGACCTCTTTCATTATAGCTACAGCAAATTGTTGATTGGAAATGATATTTTCAAGGTCAGACATATAGGTTAATGACGTTGTATCAACAAAATACTCAGGTCTAACAAATATTGCAAGTTGGCCCAGACGAAGATTATTGTTTGAGTTGGCTGGATCGATAATGAGATAAACGGAGAGTATAAGTTTCATTTTACTACCGACCGGAAAGTCATGGTTAGCGACTGAGACAGGTTCATTAATAGTTTGAATGGTTTTAAACGTACGACCAATTGCCAGAACACCTAAACCGATTTTCACTTTATCATCTTGAGAGATGATAACTACATCATCAGAAAAAACTTCAACCAGGGTCTGGGCGGCTTTGACAGAAGCTAAGCAATAATGTTCATTAACGTGAAATTTCATCTCTGTTCGTGTTATAGAGGCGAGAGCTACTCTAGCTAGATGATGGTGGCGACGTGCTGCAAATATATTTGGATAGCATGGTTCTAAATACGTAGATATGCATTGGCGAGATAAGTATACATTATATTTATCTTCTAATACTTGGCGAAGATACTTTATTGTATGTATTTTAACAACAACTTTTCTTCTTTTTTTGTGCATAGCTCCAAATTCAATACAGTCATGAATTTTATTCCAAAAATCAGGATAGATCATTGCTGCTGATGGCCTTTCAGGTCCATCATATTTTTCTACAATACCCTCTTCAAGCATTTTTGCTTTTTTGTTTTCGAGCCTTGCTTGGGCTTAAGCATGTCTTTTGAGCTTTTTTAATTACATTTCCTGTTCGTTAACTATTTTTTTTTCATTAACCATATTTGATACCAATGTTTCTTTAAATGATTCATCCGTTGAGATTAAATATATTTGTTCGTATTCTGATATTTTTTTAGTTGCTGCTGTTATTTTTTGAAATGCATCTCGTTGACTTATGGTATTTTTGGGCAATTCATCTTCATGTTGTAAAGACGTATGAATCACTGAAGTATTATTCAGTAAAGAAGAGCTGCCAGAATTATTCGGATTACGTGAAGTAAATTTTGATTGATAGCAATAAACGTGTGAAGAAATTGAATTAAAATATGAATGTATTTTTTTATCAATTACTGTTTTATTTTTCTTTTTGATTTGTTTTCAGGCCAGATTACAATCCTTCATGAGTTGTTGATGATTTGGGTGTGGGTTACAAAGAGATACTTGTTTATAATATGCGAATGCATTACTAAACTTCTCATAAAGAGTTTGAGACTCTTTAAAGAAAAAAGTTTTGTTGAAATTAGGCGTTGATAAGAAGCTTTGCATTGTTATAAAGCTTATTTATCACAGATTAATGACTGAATTTATTAAGCTTTGGAATTATGGGAAGTGTCAACTTTTGAAACCAATTTTTTTTATATTTTTTATTTTATTTTATTTTTATTTATTTATTTATTTATTTATTTTTTTATTTATTTTATTTTTTATTTATTTGTTCGTTGCTAAATAGTATATAATAAGAAGTTCAGAGCATCGAATTATACGAATATTTTATGGTTAATTGGGAGAACAACACACGTATCAACGTGCAATTTGCTCCGGCCTTAACCAGGGATTATATGGAATAGATGATATATAGTTAGATGAGTATGATTTTTTGTTGAAGAGTATCTTTTAAATATATATATATTTTTTTTTTGGTTAGTCACAGTCATATTTACGATTTTGTGGAGTATCGTATCTCATATGTAGTCAACATGCTATATAATTATTCAAATTGAATTTTTTTAGCTCTCATTAAGGTGAGCAGTTCTTTTATAATTATATGAATAAGTCAGTTTATATGTAAATTTTGCATATACTACTTTTTACTACCTATCTCATTCTAAAGATATTTATACTGCAGTATTACGTGATTGCGCATTTCCTCAAAAAGCCTTTTTGTACAGTATTACCTTATTACTCAAGACTACAATTTGGGCTAAATTTGCGCTTAATCTGTGGCGGTAGCTGTTTGCAAAATAATATATTTTTGATCAAATTTTGCAGATTGCAGCTCACACATACAATCGCCTGATTGTTGTCTGATTGTGTGAAGTTATTTTTGAAGATATGAACATAATTTATAAAAATATTTTATTTGCGTGAATTTTTATTAAGAAAATCGCTTTACAATCGCACTATTGAATAACAATCAAATAATTGTACATGTGAATTGCGATCTGCCAAATTAAAGATATTAACCAGGTCAGGGACACAGAATTTATGCGATAAGCATTTTGTAAATTATGCATACGGTTATGTAAATAATACGATTTGCTGTGATTAAAAATAAAAAATAAATACTGCGCTCAACTAATACTGATCCTTTATTGTATGATTTTTAAATAATGCCACAGACCCGTTTTATGATTTATGCATTGATTTTTAAAAAAAATTGCGCTCAACTAAATCCAATTTTTTTTTTAATGCACATTTTATAAATAGACTTTAACATACTACTAACTATTTAACTACTAAAAATATATTTTGCACTACTAAAAATTAAATTATTTCGAACTTTAATATATTACTAGAATTAATTTATTTATTTCAAAATTTAATACTACTAAAATTAAATTATTTCGCACTTTAATATTCTACTATATTATTAATTCGTTCGACCCTATTATTAATCAGTTGTTATAATAGCCAAATACAGGCCAAATCAAACTGATAGCATTCGTATTGAATATACATGTGAAATATACGATTTAATACGATTTGGTTTATAAAGTTTGTGTTCCTGAACCAGATCCGATCTTTGAACTTAATTTGATTTTTTTAAATTCAGATATAAAACCAAATCTACAATACTTATACAAATTTCTATAATAATAAAATAGCTTGCTTTAGAGAAGATTGAATATGATTGTTGAAATAAATTTGGAGCCGTGAATAGTTTGATTTTATATGTATAAAAAAAATTGATTTTATTGGTTAATTATAATTATAATTATAGATTTTTGATATTTTTTTTAATTCATATTTTAACCAATCAAAAATCTTAAATTATTATCAGGTGGGGGTAGGGAGGGTTAGCCAATTAGTAAGCCCTAATCACCTAATAAATAGCGCTCCCCTTACCTAGACTAAAGTTGTTTAGAACATAATTTTACATATAATTTTTACTTTAAATTTGCTAAATTTTTTTTTTGACAAAGTTATATTTTTAAATTGTATTAAAATTGCAACATTTTTATTCAGTCTAAAATGTGTTTTTTCACCTTTTCTTGATGTAGTTATTTGTAAAATTTAATTTAAAGTTAATATATAAACGAAAAAACATCATCACAACAAAGTTTATATGTAATTCTATATGTTTTTGCTATAATTTTATATATAAAAAACACTGTATATATAAAATATATAACAAATCAGTTAACTGATATAAGGTTATAATGTAATTTTTGAAAGTTATTTACTCAAAAAACTACTTATCCAATATTACAAAAATAACAAATTGTTAAAAATATATATCTGTAGCTAATCAAATACTAATTATAATCATATATAATATCAGATAAATAGCTTGTTAAGTAAATAGTTTTTAGAAAATTAAATAACAACTAATACAAGTACTCAAATCTTTTAATTAAGTTAGTATAATTGTATTATAGATATCTAATTCTATATAATAAAAGCAGTTACTATAATACAGATATATTTTTTAAATTTTATTATATATAAAATTTAAAGTTTAAATCTGCTGCTTGGAGATAACAACTTAACTACTATTCCAAGTTACTATATTCTTTGTTCAAAGTTTTAAAAATTTAAAAATACTTAAATTCACTAATATATAAAACAGATTTTTCTAAACTTTCATCAGCAAAATATATAAATATAATTTTATAAAAGTTATTATACTTTGAAAATTCTGATCGATGCGAAATATTTTGAAATTTTCAATTATGAAATATTATAAAATATATTACGAAATATTATGAAATATATTACGAAATATTATGAAATATATTATGTAACATTACAAAATTTGTTATGAAATATTTTGATGAGATTTGAACTAATTTGAATTTATACGAAATATGCAAAATTTGCTACTTGATTAGATAGTATTAAAAAAACTTTTATAAAATAAATAAAATAGTAAATTAATAATTTAAAAATATGAATATGTTCGAATTTATTAAAAATATTTTAAATAATTTTTAATTCTTTTTTATTTAAAATTAATTAAATATTCAAAAATATAATAAATTAAAATATATTCATATAGTATATTTTTTTGATTTATTTCATTTTTTCAAATTTTTCAAATTATACTGAAATTAATAACCAAAAAACAATTTATTTAAATAAATAAATACTACAAATTTTATAGCTTAAACTATTATTTAAAATTTTTAAATATTATATATAAAAAAAGCTAACTAATTTTATGTTAAAAGAAATATATAAAAAGTAAAAGAAAAATAGCAGTATTATTTATATATGAAAAAAACAAACAAAAAAAACTTTTACTTATCATTATCTATATAATTCTTATTATTCATATTTTTTTCTAAATCATTATCATCCAAGAATAAAGAACTGAAAGATATAGATTTAGAATATTTTCTTCTGGTTTCTTTTTACTTTCTGTAACTTTATCTGGATCTATTTGCACTAATTCAGATATTTAAAAAATTTTAATACTAGGCTAATACGTAGCATTATATATCCGGAGCTCATCATATGATATTCATCATATTATACAAATGTGTTAGTATGCATATGTTGGTAACATTAAAGCACAAATATAGACACACGTGCGAACAGACAAAAAATTTCCAAATTCTATTTCTGATAAGATTTATATTATATATATGCAAGTATATCAAAAAAGTAAATTTTGTCAAGATTTTTTCAATTGAAGCGCATTAGGAATGTAATTTTTGTATCACTATGCATAAAAACTTAGGGTTTGTCGCTACGCTCTGGCCAATTATTTAGCAATTTCAAAATATAATAAATTATTTTAACTACATTAGCAAATTTTAAAAACTGTAATATTACATAAAATTTACAATTGACGTATAATATATACAAGATTTTAAAAAAAAGCGAATAGGTGTGATTTTTATTAATTGGTGATTTGCCAATTAAATGGTGCATGATCATAGTATAACATATTACAGATCACTATGTAAATCATATATACTTTGAATGTAGCATTTATCTAAGAAAAACTTTTTTTATATTAAGTTAATCGCTCTTATGTATTAAATCAAAATTGTAGAGCTTATCGAGATATATCTGACAATAGTTAGATGCATCTCGACAAGCTCTACAATTTTGACTTAATACAGAAAAGTGATTAACTTAGTACAAAAAAAAGTTTTTCTTGGGCAAACGCCACATTCAGAGTATATGTGATTTACATAGTGATCTATATCACATTATACTATGATTATATACCATATGACTGGCGAATCACCAATTAAAAAAATTTGAAAACTTTCAATAAGTAGTATTGGCCCAATATTCGCTAAGATAGCTAATTGTAATATTCTATATATTAAAAGTTTGTAAATTTTCTTAATAAGATTCACACCTATTTGCACTTTTTAAAATTTTATATATTAATCTTGCAAATTGCCAGAAAAAGTCACAAAGTGTCAAAGAAGTCAGAAATAAATAAATAAATTAAAAATTAAAAAATAAGTAAAAAAAAAATAAAAAAACAAAAAGTATAAACAAACTAATAAAAAAAAATAAACAAACTCCAAATCTTTATTTCTCTAAAGTAAGAGTTTACATTCTTGTAAATTCAGAAATTGCGAAAGCTAGATTAATTTTCTTGCAAAATGCTAAAAAAATCACAAAGTACTGAAATAGTCTGAGTTGGTTTTCTTGAAAGTGCTAGAAAGTAAGGGTTCTGTTTTTGCAAAGTGCTAAAATAAAATAAATTAATAAAAAAATTTTAAAAATAAAACAAAAAAACAAAAACAAAAAATATGAAATAAAAAAATAAATATTAGCAAATTTTAAAAATCATAATATTATATAAAATTTACAATTTATATATAATATTATACAAGATTTTAAAAAAAAGCAAATAGGTGCGATTTTTATTAAAAAAAATTTGATAAGTAGTATTGTTCAGTACCTTATTCTGGTCATAATGGTAGTTAAATTATTAAAATTGGCTCAATATTCACTGAAATAGCTAGATATAATATTAAATATATTAAAAGTTTTTGAATTTTCTTAATAAAATTCGCACCTATTCACACTTTTTTAAAAACTTGCATATTTATCTGCAAATTGCCAGAAAAAGTCACAAAGTATCAAAGAAGTCAGGAATAAATAAATAAATTAAAAATTAAAAAAATAAGTAAAAAAATGAAAAAAATAAAGTATAAGCAAACTAATAAAAAAAAAATAAAACCCCAAATTTTCCTGTTCTTGTAAATTTAGAAATTATAAAAGCTGGTTTAATGTTCTTGCAAAATGTCAAAAAAGTCGCAATGTTCTGAATATGTCTGAGTTGGTTTCTTGAAAGTGTCTGAAAGTAAGGGTTTTGTTCTTGCAAAGTGTTAAAATAAAATAAATTAATAAAAAATTTTTAAAAATAAACCAAAAAAAACAAAAACA